TGCAGGGAGGTAATTGGCAATAGTTTACTAATATCTATGCTCTTAAAAGACCTCCTGTCCGATTTCAAGTTATTTACAACTGTTATTACTCAGAAGGACAAGCTAATAATGTTTAGTGAATTCAAAGTAGCATTGCAAAGCTTTGAAGAAAGTGAAAAGATGATTCGGGAGAATACCAGTGAAAATACCGTAATGACTCTCTGAATGCCATGACTAAAGCCACAAACTAATGTTCCTACCTGTTTTACTTGTGGCAAACTTGGACATATAAGCCCTGATTGCCGAAGTAAATTTCAGAATTACCCAGTAAATAATTCTTCTTCAAAATGATATAATTCTAATCCATCAAACAGAAATATTATCTGCCATGCTTGTCGCAATCCTGGACATAAAAGTACCAAATGCAGAAACAAAAAGAAAGTTCATTTTGTAACAAAATGTAGAACATGTTTCAGATAATGACTATTCATTTGTTTTCAATTGGACTAGATATTGTTGCCAACTTTTACTTGTTATCTGTGGTACCACAATGCATATGATTATTGACAAAAGCAAATTTCTTAGTTTTGATAATGATTTTAATCCAGAGGATCATCATACTGAACTGGCAGATGGTAGTCAAACCAGAAATATTGCTTTAAAATGAGGCAATGTTCAAGTAACTATAATGGACACAGAAGGAAATATGTGAGATTGCATTTTAAATGATGCTCTATATATCTCTACATTCAAACAAAGTATATTCTTGGTATAAGCTGTAACTAAAAAAGGGGCTTCCATAAAATTTGGCCAAATAATTACTCAAAATTTATCTATCCTAATGGCGTGAAATTTAAAATAAAAAGGAATGGATGCCTACACTATTTAAACACTGCAGTAACCTCCAAAATTGCTACATGTAGCCTAAAACAATGGCATCAAATTCTTGGACATTGCAATCTGAAAGACATTATACAGCTACAAGATGTGGAAGGCATGAAAATTGTCAGATTTAAACTGTGAAATATGTATCCAAGGCAAAATGGTACAGTATAAAAACAAGTTACCTGACAAAAGGGCAACTAAAATATTAGAACTTTTTATTGTGCTGTTGCTGGCTCGATTGAATAGAGATCTTTGATTGGCTTCAAATATACACTTTGTTCCATGGACAATTATTCTGGTATATTTAATATATATATACCTGAAACTAAAAACGTCAAAAGAGTCAGGTGTGTAAAATTTACTGAAAACTTTGAAAATCCTACATCTCACAATTCTTTACTTCCGGTTGAAGAAACTGATGCAATTCTTCCAAACTATTTGCAAAAAAATCCTTGAGGGGAGGGGAAACAAGAAAGTGAAACTACACAATCAAGTAGGAAGCAATAATACAGGAGATAATCCTAGTGCAACAATACCTGACAGATGATATCCAAGCAGGTTATGAAAATGCATGAATATTTAAAAGATTACATTGTTAAGAATTTAGACAACATAGTTATACCGACTATAGATTATTGTTGCATAGAAAAAAATATACCTACTAATTATAATGAAGCTATTACTTTAAATGACTCTATAAAATGGTGAGATGGAATGGAAAAAGAGATACCTGCTTTAACAGCAAACAATACATATAAATTGGCAGAGCTTCCACCTGTTAAAACTGTTGTAGGCAATCGGTGGGTCTACAGTACATTATTAAAACTAATAACATTAATAATGAACAGTTCAAAATGAGTTTCATTGCAAATGGTTACTTGCAAAAACCTGGAATAAATTATCACAAAATTTTCTATCCCACAGCATGTTTATCATTGGTAAGAATTTTAATAATATAGAAAAGAAAGAAAAAAGATTTAAAATATTTAAAAAAAAAAAATTTTTGAAATATTAAAACAACAAAAAAATATTTTGTTATGTATGCAAATTATATGTAAATTATATATATGTAAATGTTTGCATTATCTTGTTTATATTTATTGCCCCCACCCCCATAAAGAGAGATTTAGGGGAGGTAAATATGAGTGCACTCATCTATGAGATTTAGGGAGTGTTGATTTAAATCTATTGAGAAACGACTGCAAAACACTTGCCCCTCCCCTTTTATAAACAGAAATCCACAAATGCATGTTGGGATATTTTTCTTAGCCAATAAAATAGGCTGGTTTACAGTCCTAATCTGCATTGTCTAGAAGACAGAACACTATGTTTGCTTGTTTAAACTTGCTTTTGTGTATCAATACCAATTTTTAGTTTGTGAACTTTTTGCCTTCTTACTGTTAATTTGTCTCAAATATATTGTTTTCTTGCTTTTGATATTATTTCATTTTTGCCCTGCTACTTTTTCTTTTTTATTGCAATCTTTGTTAATTCTGTTTGTTGGACATTTCTGTTATTTTGCATTTGACCATGGCTACTCACTCCACAGTTTTCTTCTTAGGGTCATTATTATTATTATGTCCTTCGTAATCAAGAAAAAGTTCTCCCCCCACAGAGAGCCATTTTTTTTTAGATAAATGCCTCTGAATAAACCTGATTACTGTATGATCATTACACTCACAATGAGTACACATAAAATTGTGCTTGGAACTTGTGAACAAGTTTTATTTGAATGATAAAGACTTTTCAAAGATAATGCAATGAGCAAAGTCCAGATAAAAAGGCCAATACTGAGGTTTCAAATCTGACTAGGAATCTATTGAATGTATCCCATATTCTGGAAAGCTCTCAACAAGCAGAATATCTGAAAACATTGAATATATGTTGACAATTTGTTTCGGTGCTATAGTGCTTGATGATAAATAAAATTAATTTTGGTTGTAGAATTTTCCACTAGAAATACTAAAATCTTAGCATGATTGGTTTAAAAAAAATTAACTTATTTATGAGCAATATTGTATTTCAGTATGGAAAACAATATTAGATCAACAAAGAATTCTGCAAAGCAATGACATATTCATATACTTGGTTTCAATGCTGTAGAATTTGATAATAATTACCTAATAATATCCATATTGATTGTATAAGATTGTATAGAAATAATGAATAAAATAATAGTAATTTTGATAGTAAATAATACTGAATAATATCCATTTTGATTGTATAGTGTTCTATTAGAAATAATAAATAAAAATTTGCTAAGTTTGGCAATACATAATTCCTAATAATATCTGTTTTTATTGCATAATATTCCATTAAAAATAATAAGAAAAATCCTAGTATGTTTGGTAATAAATGATACCTAATAATATTGATTTTGATCATATAATGTTCCACTAAAAATAATAAAATCCTGATATGTTTAGATTATAAGAAAATTAACTTTTTATAAAAAAAAAAAGTGGGTGTACTTACTTATGTACAATACTGTATATGGCATAAATAAAAGAAAGATAAATAAAAACATTGCAAGCACTCTCTTTATCTCTGCAAAGAACAAAATTTATAGATCTCTGACAGAAAACTGATACATTGCACTTACAAAATTACACAATCATTCATATCAAGACTGTCATATGTTCTAGTGAACAAGTTTTTTTTCTTATTGCTGAATATTAACCAGTATAAATAAATGCATTAATTGACTTTCTTTTTATATTTCATGTTTTGATTAAAAGAATGGTGGACAACAATGCAGAAAAAAAAACATGAAACAGAATGTGAATCAAACTGTGTATCTGCAGAAGGAGGAATCAAAAAATACCCCAACACATATACCATAAAATAATTTTGAAGCAAATAATAGATTTATTTAATACAAATTATTGCTATAAACATATTTAGTGGGTGCATGTGTTTGAGTAGATGTCAGTTATTTTTAAACAGAGAAATTAATGATAATAGTAATATTAGTTATTTTGCTACAAGGAAACACTCACTGACTGAGCAGTTGGTACAGCTTTTGGTTGTAATTTATAAAATCTTTCTCATAACACCTTCATAATACATAGATATGTATATACGTTTTTACTGAAAATGTCATTTTCAGACACAGACAAATAAACACATCCAAAACATAATGTTCAAAATCCAGCTACAAACATGTTTATATGTCAATCTTGATTTTTTTAATGCCCTTCTGACCTTGAAACAAGTCCAACTGTCAAGTCATATGCCTGGTAGAAGTGTTAATCCCTGCTCAGGTACTTTATGGTGCCTCAGTTTCTTAGTTACTATATCAAAAACAAATAAAAAAAATTGTCTGAAAATGAAATGGTTTTCCCAAAATAATTGGCAGGGAAGGGGTTAAAACAATTTTTCTGAAACATGAGTTTTTCAAGTCCAGTAGCTGTTATCGCTTTTTTTTTTTTCGTAGTTATGTTGGGAGTAGCGCTTTCAGTATAATTACTGAATTGCTTTCTCCATAAAAAAAATATTTTCTTGTCCATATTTCTCTTGAGCTGCCTATATTCCTCAAATTCTGATTCTTTTGTGTTGGTAAACAAATGTTGAGGCAAATAAATCGTAAATAATTTCAATTAGATTGGAAATATATTTAATGCAATGAATATTGAACCAAAGGCAATTTTATATTACTTTCTTTCACAAATGTAGAATTAAAAAATGTTAATGATAATGGTAATATTGGCTATTTCCTTATAAGGATACATTCAGCATTTATTGACCGATCAGCTAGTACTGCTTTTGGTTGAAAATTGTAGAATCTTATTCTTAAACCAATTTGTTAGGAAAATAGGTACCTCAAGTCCAGTACTTGTTATCCCTCTTTCCAGTACTGATGGGGGTTTTCTTCTTATTTGGAGTAGTGTGGAACATCCACGTATTGATTATGTCATTACTTTAATGATTTAATCATTAATATTCATTAAATTTCTATTGATTGAGAAGTCCTATTAAAGAGAATGTGTGTTTAGTGACACAAGTCTTACTAATTAACCCATAGCTAGGAGGAGAAGGGTATTTGTGTGTAAGTGAATATAACAAACGGAACTGGAACTCAGTTCCCCAATAAACAATTCTGAGCCATTATCCATTAAACCAGCCACACATTTAAGCTTACAGCACCTGGTATACCCAAGTGGTCACCCATTTAGGTAGTGACCAGGATCAAAATTGCTTAACTTCGGTGATCATACAGGAACCGGTGTTTCAATGTGATGTTGCTGTAAGCTCAAAGAGATTGGAACCATCACTGTAAAGGTCCTAAGCATCCTGAACTACTGTCAGTCTTGATGAATGGATGTCCCCTCAGGGAGGCTATATGCCTTGAGAGACCATTGAGCCTTAAACTCACTTCTGACCTCAAGTAGAACTCACATATATGATCCATCGCAAAAGATGCAGGAAAAATGGTTGGTAGCCTGTACTGTTCTGGTAAATACCTGCTATCTTCTACATTTGCAAGAAGCAGATCAGGCCTAAAATGGAGTACTGTTGTTATATTTGGGTGTGAGCTGCTCAATTCTCACTTTTCAGTCTCTATAGAGTACAAAAGCATCTCAGAGTCCTTGCGGATGACAACTTATTTTCCACTCTCGAACCTTTCTCTCTCACTGGTGGGATGTGTCAAGCCTCACTAATCTATTGCTATTTCCATGGAAAGTGTTCAAAATACATTCCTTGGTTCTGCTAGTTCTCACCTTGATGGCTAGGATCTGCCATGCCACTCCTATTCTAGCAAACCACCTACATTTCATTGGTGAGAAGTAAGTTCCACTCAAAAAGCTTCTTCCTGCGAGCCACCACTTTGTGGAACTGACTCCCAAGAGGATGTTTCCCTAATCACTACTATCTTAGCCTGTTCAAGTCTAGGGTTAACCATTATATTCCCCTCTTATCTGCATAAACTGCTTCTTAATGTAATTCTCTACCTTGAGTAGCCTCTGGGCCTTATGTGGACTGAACTTTACTATAAAAAAAAAAAAAATTAAAGACCATATTGCTTCCATTACCATGCATATTAGTGTTATCAAACATTTCTGTCCTTGTACACCTCCCGATAACACCACCAAACCCACTGGATATGATCAAACCTTAACAGGTTGATTTTGTTTCAACTGATCACAGTATGAGATCCAAAAGTTTGAATTTTTTATCTTTACTTTCTTGGGTAAACTTTAAAGAAGCCTAGAGAATGTTTCCCTGATCACTACTATCTTAACTTGTTTAAGTCTAGGGCTAATCATTATCTTCCTCTCCTATTCACATAAACTAATGTAACTCTCTACCTTAGTGGCCCCCGGGCCTTGAATAGAGTGAAACTTACTGTAAACAAAAACAAACAAAAAAAGTCCATGTAACCAGCTTTCATGATATTCAATATGACTGGATACTTGTCACAGTTTTCCTATTAACTGGTCAGTTATAATAACCTTTCTTTCTTTTATAAATTTTAAATGAAAAGCCTTTTCTATAGATTTTGTGGAATTAAACTATAATCTTCAGAGTTTTAAGTTTACTAACAGAAGAAAATTGCAAAACCTAATGACTGTTAATGTTAAATATGGTCTAATATTTACTTTAAGAATATCAGACCAAAAAAAAAAAGAAAAAAAAGACTCTTTGAATGCAATTACTGAATCATTAAGACTTTGAAGTTCCAACTTAAGGTTCAAATGACAAAGTAACATTTGTGTGTAGCTGTATGAGGTGGAATCGGAAAACAGAAAAAGAAGAAAAAAAATTAGCTTGAGTGTTTTCTACACAGATGCAACAAAGCAATGTGCAATTAAATCCTGAGAAGCAAACAAGTAAAAAAAAAAAAAAAAAGTGAGAGAAATGATTGGATGAGAATGCAGTACCAATACTAACTTTAAACAGAAACAGCAAAATTGATCAGAACCCAATACCAATGACAAAAAAAAAAAAAAAAGAAAGAAAGAGGAAAAAAAAAACCCTTACAGGCCACATCTGGGATCAATGGAACATTCGTACAGGAGCCAAAGAATATTAGATTAATTGACAAGGTCTGAAGCTTTGGCACAGCAGCTGATGTCGCTTGAAATTTGGACGGTATAAGCTGGGACAAGACACGAGCATGTTCTGTGATGGTATTAACTTTCACAAAAACACAGGCCTCCATGGAGTTTAGAACAGTGAAGAACACTATGATCAGATAGAAGAAATACTAAGACGGATATTGAGAAATGTGTGCAGGTAGATCAAGAAAGATTGTTTGGATCTGAAAGTTCTGGCATCAACATTTGTGTATTATTCAGATAAATATCTTCATTTTTAGTGTTTTTAACATATTTCATCCAATCAGCTACAGTGAATCACAAATCAATTTCTGAAATTTCAACATCATTTTTTTTTTTAATAAAAATGTATTGCTGATATTTTCATACTTTTATAGTGTTTTGATTTTTGTTGGGTGGGGGGTTCAATGTTTGAACATAGCTGGGACCCTAACATCTGCTACCATCAGGAATGAAGATGGGCTTAAGAGGTAACACCACACTTCTCAAAACCTGATCAGAGGCCTTGCTACTGGATATAGTCTATCGTCATACCCAAGACTAAGGGCTGATAGGTTTAATGTCTGAATTTTCATGCATTCTTGGGAAAGATAATGGAGTGGTTTTCTGTTGCCTTCTCCATGGTTTGGAATTCAGTTTTCCTTCCCTTAGACTAGTTACCATCCAAAGCTAGAGAGCCTAGTTGGGAGGGGAACAGACTGATTCATGCCTTTCCCAAGGTCATTAATACAAAAGTGAATGCAACAGACTAGATCAGAATTTGAACTCAGATCACTGATTTCACTTTTCACATGCTGATAACCATTACACTACCTGCACATACATCTTAACAGTGGCCATATGCATAAAAAAATGTTTATTTTCTTTATGCATATGGCAGGAAAAGCTAGACAAATGTTTAACAACTGACTGATGTCTCTTTCCCTAAGTTCACATGAAAGTTATTTCCTAAGGTTTGCAATTCATATACTACAGCTGACTGACTGCACAAACAATAAAGAGCTGAGTAAATGTGAAAAGCACTTCTAAGATTTCCCTGATATTGTGCAAGGAACTTTGACAATCAACAGGTCTCTTTACATAGGAAACCCCACCTAAAGCTCATGTGATAGCGAAAGCAGCACAAATTTCCCAGCTCACAAGAGCCGATAATACACACATTATTACAGAAATCTTTATCATTTTTTTTCTTGGAACATTAACTTAATGATTCATGATGAAAAATATCTAACACGGATAAGAAAATATTTATTCAGACTCAAAGTTCAGACATTAATGAGGTAGTTGCTTGTTTTCCAACAGTATTCATGCTCAGTTAAAATTCAAGATTTTGAATGCTGTCAAGCTTGGATGATTGGTGCAATATGATCTTCTCACCAACATTAATTATCCTTCATTTAGCAATGTGCTAGATTCCAATCACAGGTTAATCATTATCTTTCCTCCATAACCTCATGAATAACATTTTAGTATTTTCTTACATTAATACAACACAGTATCCCTCTACCTTGAGTAGTTCTTTGGCCTTGTATGGACTGAAAATAAATACAAAAAATAAATACTTCTACTAATGTTGACCCAATCTAATATTCTTTGGCTCCTGTACAAATGTTCCATTGATCCCAGATTTTCTTGTTGACAGCATAGAGCAGATTTTTTCACGGTAAGACAGGGTTTTCTTCTATAATTTTAGTGTTGATTTATAAAACTGACCCTTATTAAATATCCTTGCTGCAACCTCCATAACTGACCCAAGTTCATTGAAGGCACACAGTATTTTATTTACTTCTTTTCTTCTTTTTTTTCCATTTATTGTTCAGAAACACAGGAAAGTCTGTCAACACAGCTGTTGTTTTTGAATATGAGGAACAAAGTATTTTCAAGGAGCAAACTGAAATAGGAAGCTGAAATGAAACCATTTGGAGTGTGTTTCTGCCTCCAGCTACAACTGCTGCTCCATTTATCCCAATCATCCAGCAAAAAAGAAAAGAAAAAAAAAAAGACACTGCTCAGGGTTCATATTTCTCTTATGTTCCAGTCTAAAATCCAATCACGTCTCCAAGAACAAGTGTCTTCAATAATTCCTTCAAACCAGTTTCGTTGTTTTTATTATATTGCTTCAGCCACTCTACAAATCAATATCCCCTGCCAAGTGTTCCAAGAAATAGAACTCAAGATAAACCTTTCCAAAACAAAAACTATGATCTGGAATTCAAATGAAAGCAGTGATGACACCTACTGTAAAACCATTATAAAAATCCAGGATGTGGAATTAGTAAAGACTAAACAGTGATCTATACACTAAAACCTTAGTGTATAGATCAGTTATAACAAATTTAGTATAGGAGATAAGGAAAGTCACAACAGTGCCAGAGGTATTTTCACCAACACTATAAAATTCTATGAAAGCAAAACATTAACCTGAAAACTCAAGACCCATACTGAAATAGCCTTGTGTAAGATTGAGACTTTCATATGAATATTGTCCTTGGCACCAAACCCATTCGGAAATATCTAAACTGTCAGCTGTATACAACCACTTTCTAAAATCAATTGTTAAAATTGGCTTTGAGTGAATGAAGACAGTGGGTTTTAGCAACAACCATCCTTGATAATTAAAACCATATCACATGAGGAGTACCAACAGCAAAAACAACTAAAATGGATATGACATGTAACTTGAAGAGAAAGTACTGATATTATCAAGATGTTGATATTCCACACTATTTCAAACAAAAAGGTAGGAAGGAAGCACCCATCAATACTGGAAATCGAGATAACAGTTACTGAAACCTATTTAAGAGAAAAAATTGTTTGAAGAGAAAAATTTTATTAATTCCAAACTGACTGTTTGATCAATGAATCCGAAATGTTTCCTTATAAGGAAATGGCTAATACTACCATTACCATTACTATCTGACAGTCATCAGTTGCAGTCAATAACAAACTTATTGTGACTTATATTTTTCTTGCTCCTTTTGGCATCCTCCCTAGGGAACTTGAGAATTTATAATCATTTTTTTTTCAATATCAAAGAGTTTATCTAATGAACTGAAGTATATTTCTGCACAGGGACTGAACTTATGACTTTTTGGAACTTCAGCTAATGATTTTTAAATCTTATCTATATTTTTATATTCAATCTATCTTAATTAGTGGCTTCTACAAAAATAAATA